TTGAGCAAACACAATTAAAGCCTAAAAGCTGAAATAATTTTAAGTTCATGGACATTAATAGAACTGAAGTGACTGAATTTAGCCACTTTTCTGCCAAAATATGTTGTAAAAAAATGTATACAGGTAGGAATACCAGTGTCCAATATCTCTGGGTTTTGTATTGCTCTGGTTTGTCCCCAATACTGGGAGCTGTTCCCCCTGTTTTCACAGCAGTGTATGGTAATGAGCTGTGGGGAAACCCAAATGAGGACTGAAGTGCTCCTAAGCACCAAAGTAGATCCACCAGGGCTGGCACAGCACGAGCCCAAAGTCCAGGGCAGGGACACAAAGCTCCAGGATCTCTTTTGGTCTCCAGGGTGTTGATGAGTTCTGCTCTGTACCACGTGCTCTGACCCTCATCAATCTTCAGGGCAGATGAACACACATTATTCCAAACACCACGAGCAGGTCTGAGGGGAATGCCAGCACAGCTGTGCTGTGTTTGGCAGGTAACAAAGCTAGAGATGCACACTGCAGGTGCAGGGAGTCCTCCTCCTCTTCCCACCCCAGCCCTCACCTTGGAATTCTCCTTACACAATCACTGCCCATGCAAACCACTGGCAAGCTAGCTGACTGAGGGAGATAACAAAGAAAACACTACCAAAAAACTCTCACAGTGATGGATTCTGTGGCTCCTGAGCCCTCTGAAGGAGCCTACCATGGTCTTGTGGGAAGTGCCAGTTACTGCACTTAAGCTGGGGCAGGAATAGCAAACAGAAGTGGGCTGTGGAGGTGAGATTTCTCTCTCAGCAACAGTACAGTTATTCCACATGCTCAGTTATACCACCAAACTGTACAGTAGCCCCTTGCTGTCCAAGAGCTCTTCCTTGTAAGTTAGCACTGATTTTCTCAATGGTATCCATTTGCCTTCTCTTTATTGAATGCACCCAGTATCTGTTTTCTGAGGATTGACTGGACTGGGAATTACTTTTCAGGGTTAAACCTATCTGATCTGTGGTCTTGACACTGTTCAATGCTTCTCTTGTTAATAAAAAACTTATGGCTTCTTAGTATAAATATGTGCATTGGATTCAAGGGTTTATTCTTCCAACTGACACACTGAAAAAATACAAAACCAAGCTGATTTCTGGATGTAGCCTATGATGGTTAAAAAAGATAAGATGGAGCTTCTTACAAGTATTTCAGACCTTCTTGAGTCAGTGTCACTAGAAAACACTCACATGTACCCAAAGTGCGAATCAAACACAAATGTCAAATTGTGAAAGCATAAGATCTGTCCTTAAAGAAGGGAAGATCAGATCACAACACAACATAATAAATGGCACTGAATCTGCAGGAAACATAAAATGACATGAGGGATTTTTCTGTTAGGATGTTTAAAACATGACTTAAAATGCTGAATTAATGATGGATTCTTTTTTTTCCAAAGGAAAGAGGCAAGACATGCAAGAAATCTTACCATTCTTGTCTGCTCTTCTTAATATCTTAAAAAAGAGAGACAGAAAGAACAGAATCAATTTTTTCTTTTGTATGGGTTAATAACAAACAATGTTCTTCTTAGTACAGATTTATAGTTTGGGCTCTACATCACATTTTCACAAAGCTGCATAGAACTTTAAAGTTCTTAATACATCTTTATCTGTCCTGCTGAGCTTTTTTTAACTCCTCTGTTGCTGTGTGCACTGACAACCAAGACCATAGCAAGAACCAGCTTTATTTTCTAGCTTGTTTATGGATTACAAGGATGATGTTCAGGCACAAAACCTGGTACCACATGGCTACCATGATACTGGATTCAGGTTTGAGAGAAGTGGCTTAAAGAAGCAGAGCAAGAATGATGGCTGGGAGGATGTGAGATGGTGAGAAAGACTCCTGGTTTGTGTGGGTGGAGGAAGCAAAGGATAAGTCAGGGTGGCACAAAGGGATCAGACTCAGTGTCACTGCAATGGAGAATAATCCAGGAAATGCTGCCACAAGTGTAGACAAAGCAAGAAAGCAATCTTCCAAATCTAGTTTCTATTGCTGCAGCAAATATCACTGAAGTGTTTCAAAATATGTTTTTGCACATATATTTTTGAGAGCTGACAGCAATGGAAACATTCTCTGGTTTATTAAAATGTTAGTAGCATTTAAACAGCTTCTCCAGCACATGCCATGGCTGCTCTGCTCCTAGAAGTGAAACCAGACAAGATGGATCCAAGTGCCCAGCTCTCTTGGAGCACCTTCATGATTGTTTTGTGGAGGGTGGGGTTGGCAGGGAAACCAACAGAGTTGTGACCCACATCCAGGACTTCACTGATGGTGAACTTTGCGCTGAACCAAATTTACAGCACATAAAATATGAAATATACTTAGTAAGATGACACTTTCCCTCCCTCTTTATACAAATAAATGATACACTCAATTTTCAGTATAAGGATTGGACTTTTGAAGGGATGTAGCAGTGGAGTTTCAATAAAATAGAAATGTCCCATAACCATAGGTCAAGAGTGGTAAAATGTTCTGCTTAAGTAATTTTAAAAATTGATTTTAAATCAATTATTTTATGTATTTATTATTTTTATAATTATTATTTAAAATTTATATTAATTTGTTTTAATTAATTAACCCCCCTGACCCAACCTTAAGCAAGTATTAAAATCCTTTAGACACTTGAGAGGGAGTTTGACAGAAGACCACAGAAGAGGTTGTTTTAGCAACCATAAATCACTCTCATTAGGTCTCTCTCTCTGGAGAGAGATTATTTATAAGAACATTTAGTGACAGAACAATGGGGAATGATTTCAAACTGTAAGAGATTAGGTTTAGATTAGATGAAAGGAAAACAATCGTTACTGTATGGGTGCTGAGGCACTGGCAGTGGTGGCCCAGGGAGGTTGTGGATGGCGGAGGTTGTGGATGGCAGGGTTTGAGGCCAGGCCGGATGAAGCTCTGAGCAACCTGGTCTAGTGGAAGGTGTCCCTGCCAATGGCAGGGCTTTAGAACTGGATGATTTTTAAGATCCCTTCCAACTATGCCATTTTATCATTCTATAATTCTATTCCTCAGGGGGATCAGGACCTCAGTGCCGCCCTTTCTGTGCAGCCTTACAACAAACCTCTTGCTGCCTGATCTAATTTAAATGTGTTTATATAGGTGGGGGTACTTGACTGAGGAGTAATCACACACCTGCACACCCCCAAATATCTAAAATATCTGTGACATGAATGTGCTCTCACAGCAGAAGGGCCCCCAGGGTCCGGTCCCTGCTTTGAAGCAGGCATGGCTTGGATTTAAAGTTTTCCTCCAGATATAAGAGGAAAATCACAGAAACAGCCTCCTCCTATTTGTGGGTTTGTGAAAGGTATCTGCTTTCCTATAAATATGAACGTGTCGTGGGTTTAAGAAAATGCTGAAAATTAAACAAATATTTTTATTTTGAATTATCTTTTCTACTTTAGTGAAATCAAAAGTTTTCAGTTTATCAGGTAATCTGACCATGTGCAATTTCCCAATCCAGTGTGCTAAGTTAAACTGGGGAGCTGGCTGCATTTAATGTTTTTTTAACTCTTTCCTGACAACTTGGATTTCTCTTCTGTTTTTGTGATGTATGACTGTAATTCTCCCATTTCTTTTACAAGTGGTATCTCTGAGGCAAAAGGAAAAAAACCTAAAAAAATACCCAACCAAAGAGAAAACCCTGCATTTTCAATATACACTTGAACTGAAATGAAAATTTAATTGAATGGAAAAGTCAATAAAAAGTCTTATTTAAACAATTTTGTGTGGAGGCTAGAGAAATCAGGAGATGAGCAGATGAGGTTCACTTGAAACTGGAGAAAGGTTGGGGAAGTTGACGTGGGCATATTAGAGAAAACATCTAGATAAAGAGTCCTTTAATACAGGCTATGCCATTCCAGCTGATTTGTGGAATAATGCCAATACTAGAGCTGGTCTGAAGTGGATTGGAGTTGGTGGTTGAGTTGGTCTCAAGATTTGCAGGTCTCACCAAGGTCAGGGGATACTTTGAAGATCTTTGGGTGGGAGTTTGCCTTTTACCATGGTTTGCCTTGGAACAAAGAAATACTCTGTGCTGCACAAATTTGGATAAGAAAACTTTACAGCTGCACCTTGCAAGATGCCCTTGGGGACAGCCTAGCACAGCACCTCTCAGGGCTGTGTGGCCAGATGTTCATCAGGACACTTCCCAGAGCTCAAAGGGCTGAGGGGCCCAGGATTCTCTGCACATTGACCTTGGGCTCCTCAAATTCATCAGGGTCTGAATGGATGGGAAGAACCTGCATGGTTAGGGAAAAAACCCCAAAAACTTTTATAGGGTGAGAAACTTTAGGGAAAAGCACCCCCAACCCCCCGCCCCAATAAAACCAATAAAATTTGAAGTAACTTATTTAGAAAGGTGACTGTTTAGACTGTTTTCACTCGTTTAGAATGGTGACAGAGCCTCTTCTAGCCACCCCCAAAGACTAACCTGCTCTCCTCACACATGCAGCCATTAGAAACAAAAGGGGAA